TCAGCCTTTCTGCTCCTATGATGCTGCTTGGCCTGCTGTGTTCATCCAGCTCTGCACCTTGTTGTCTCGGATTCTCCAGCATCTGCAGTTCCTACTATCTTCTCTTAATTCTGAAGGTCTTTGTTTGGTACTTAATCTTAGATATTGTTAAAAAAAATGCTCAACATCTCCAAGCTAGTCTTTACAATTGAAGTTCCGAATTAGTGGTTGGATCACTGTGAATCTACTCTGTGACTTGCAGACAGCTTTGATCTCCTTCCTGATAGGGACCGGAAACAAAATCGTGGCCTAACTGATGTCTTGTACAAATCTAATCTTTCTCTCTCTCTCTCGTGCAGCAAAAGCAAAACCTTCTGAAATGCTTAGCAAATGCAATTCACAGCCTATAAAGTCATAGAAATCTACAGCGTAGAAAAAGACACTTCAGCCCATTTAGTCTGTGCCAGCCATAAACAACCACCGAACTATTCAAATCTCAAATCCCATTTTCAGCACTTGACCTATTGCTTTGAATGCCTTTACATCACTGATTTGATTTGATTTATTGTACTCACATGCACCTAAGTACAGTGAAAAGCTTTGTTTTGTGAGCAGTACAGGCAGATCACAGCAGATCACAAGGACGACCAAATGCACATCTAAATACTACTTAAATGTTCTGCATTTACCACCATTACAGGCAGTGACTTTCAGATTCCCACCATTCTCTGTGTGAAAAAATTACTCTGCACATCCTCTCTAAACTTTCTCCCTTTCACCTTAAATCTTATGTGTTATACAATAAAAATTCAGGAATTTTAAAAATGTATGATAGGTCAGGCAGTTTTGTGGAGGAAAAAAAAGCAGGGCTAGCATTCTGGATTGGTGACCCTTCATCAGAGTTTGTGTTTTAGTGTGATGTAGTTGGTTTACTCACCATTGTTCAGTGTCTTGGATGAATTATCAAGCTTTGGCAGAAAAGTTATAACTGTGATAGAAGAAGACGAAGCTATATAGTAACACTCGTGTTGCTATTGCATTGTGAGTAAGTGAAGCATCAAAATTGGATTAGGAAACAACTCAGCAG